TTCCTATATGACACCTATTTCACCCTGGATAAGGGTATCTGCTGAGAAAATAAATGATGATTAAAACTATAACTGAGTTCTGATCCCATTGGAATGACATTTTCACTACTGTACAGAGTCTGTTTGCAATCTCACACCACATAGGCTACAGTACATACACAAAACACACCTGCTCATCTCAATTTCTGCACCGGTCTCTAAAAGAAGGACTTACAGTGGAGAAAGTATGCCAATATCGGCACAGATTACTACACACAAGGTAACAGATCTCCGGTATTTCCACTGGGATAAGACATCTGGTCTAACACAGAGGGAGACATCCTCCTGCCCAGCTGTTTAAGGGACAGAAGCATCACCACCTTGTAGCCTGATCTGCTCAGATCTAGAAAACCTAAGCAAGGCTGGGCCTGGTCGGTACTGGGATGGGAGACCTCTTCCCTCTGGACGACAAATACTCCAATACAAGCAATACTCTAATACATTGAGAGGGGGTGGAATCCTTCGGAGGAGACATTACACTCAGGTCCTGACTAAGAGCACTTGGATTCCTGGCTAAACTCTACCCTTCTACCCTCAACTCTACTCTGCCCTAGGATCCACATCCTCAAAGCACACTGCAAAACCTCTGGCTCAATGCTCGTCTGCACTACCTGCATGGTCTACCACGGTTGGTTGGTTTTTTTTCACCGCTACGTACTTATTGTTCTACACAACATATTTACTGTTCCTGTTGTTATTATTTATGGCGTTTGTCATGTACCGTCTACAGCGTGTGGTGTCGTCTGCTGTGCTGTGCACGTCCCGAGAGATCAGCGCGAATATGAAGTCCAATGTCCGTGTACATGTGGCAATAAACTCCTCTACTCCACTCTGCCCTTCAGGGTGACACGGGGCTCCTTCTATACATAAAGAGCACTTTGGGGGTGAATATAAAGAAATGTTAAACAATAACTCTCTCGTCCGCCCAGCTGAGACCCGGACCCCACTGAACGTGTGCATGAATCTCCTGGGACCATCCTCAGCGCACAGGGAAGCGACACGCCTGCCAGCTCGCACCTCTTGGGGTTCAGGCCGGCGCAGACTCCTTCAGTGACCGAGAAGGGTTATTGTGCTTCCGAAGGGATACCCACGAAGCAAGCATCTCATGGATTCTCTCGGAGTTTATTCTTCAGTTGTTTAAAAACCGTATTCAAAGGCTCGAAGTGTATTCTTTAACCTAAGGTGAGCTTGATTTTTTGGGGGGGAGGGCTGCAGTCCGTGCATTTGCTTTTATAATATACAACAAGCTCATTTCAAAGAAAGGGGCACTCGACGTCAAAAACCGCAACGACATCACAGGGCAAATAGGTGTATTAAAGAAACCGCTGCCTGTGCCTGTCATTACTCTTAACAAATTCCACATTTTTGGAATTAGAGAACATGCTTGAGATTCGACCCCTACATATCAGGAACTAAAAAGCAGCGAAACGTGAAAACCGAACAATTCAAGGGGAACTCGGGGATGCAAAACAGACCACGAACAAAAACTTATTCTTCAATTGTTAGTGAACTAGGGGAAGTTGGTCACGTGAAGTATGGACTATATTCCGGGCGTTCGTCAATATTTTAAAGATGAAAACGTCAGCGGTCGTGTCCCCGGGCTATCCGTTTACAGAACCGGCAGATATCGTAGACAGCACCCCCATAAATCCGAAGAGAAACACCTTTGTAAATCGACGAGAAGCCTCCAAGCGAACCATCCCTTTCTGTACCACATCCCTGATGTGCCCCGCCCCTCCCCGGTTCAGTCCGCCGCTCTGATTGGGCCGTTCGAGCCCGACAGGAAAGGGGGGGCCGCGGGATCTCGCACCGCATTGGTCCACTCCCGTGTCCATCATGTGCCAGCCTAGCCCACAAGTCAGCTGTGTAACGTCTGCGCGAATGAATAAAGATAACAGTCGCCTTTCCCTCTCTGTCCGTGGTCAGCGCCCCGGCGGATGAGCAGTCCCTACCGCGGAGGAATTCACAAAGTGCAGGAGCGCCTTACCGAGTTTCTTTAACCTTGAAATCTCTGGTTTCTGGGTGCTATCTTGAGGGAAGCATCAAGGTACCGAAGCATAAGGCAGCCGACTGCGCCTGCTTCCAGCCCGGAGTCACTGCCGCGGCGGGAGAAACCCCACCCCAGCCGGATGTGACGCAGGAGCTCTCGGAGGGAGGCGGGGGAGAGGGGGGCCTGTGGTGTTTGTGAAACAGAAACTCGGATTGTTTTTGTTACTCGAAACAAAAGATGAATAAAGTGAGAAAGAAGAAGTTGTGACAAAGGGACGGTTTTTGGTATTTTTTTTGTTATTTGTTGGTTATTTTATTTTGACGTCTGAAATTCCCGTATGATTTTTTAAACTACTGCCCAATGCGGTGCCCCCTGCTGAGCTTACCTGCAAAACGCAAGAGATCGTTTTGCTGGGGTTTCCTCGTTTTAGCTACAGTAGCTGTACAGCACACTAACAAACAAACCACAGTTTTATAAAGTTCAATTCAACCCTAATGATCACTTATTTATAAATTAATGTCTTTAGGAAAATAAAGTATACAGATTTGGGATATCGTTTAAATGTTACTACATGTTGATAAAAGGGTCGTTCAGGACTGGCCAATACAGTCCTGTATGATCAATCATTCACAGTGATGTCAAAAAAATGACCACATTTAGTACAAAATCACCTTGTTAGTGTGAGAGCAGACTGTTCGCAGGTGAGGGGATGATTTAGCGTGTTTAATGTCAAAGCCTAGTGACATTCAAGAAAAAAAAACACAAAAAGGAGCCAATGTCCTGCGCCTCTCAAGAGAACGATATTTCTGCGTTATTGTTGGAGCAACACCTCTGACGGACTAGCCTTCAGTGGAGACAAGTGGTCTTCAGTGATGAATACAGGTTT